TGGAAAGGGTTCTACATGGAACTCAAAAGGGTTCTACCAGGAACCAAAAAAGGTTATTCAAAGGGTTATCCTATGGGGACAGCCGAATAACCTTTTTAGGTTCTAGATAGCACCTTTTTTTCTAAGAATGTAGTGCCCTGTGTTGACTTATTTCCATGTATTGTATTCCCATTGTTGTTCCCTAGAACTGTTTGTATGTTTTCAAAATAACTAACAGCACCTAGGAACTTCAAATCATCCTAGGACATAATTTTTAAATCTCCAAGGATATTAACAATCCACAGATTCTCTAATTATTATTATTAGTACTTCCTATCCATGCAATAGAATTATATACAATTCTGTAAACTGTGGTTACAATTATATCCAATATTATTATGTAAGACCTGTTAGCAACCTTTCCAGCTCAGGGAATGATTAAATCGTAAAGTTAAACAAAAAAAAGACGAAGAAGAATCATCTAAAAGCATAAATACTGATATTCCTGAAAAAAAAGCCATTGTCTTCAATTGGTTGTAATATCGATCGTGATATTCTTCACACTTACAGAGATTTACAAACAAATCCTAATAAACATTCATCTTCTCTTGAAAGTTAAGTTTTAAAGTTTTGTCTAGCAAAATATTCTTCACTCTCCACACCCAATTATTAAATTCGACATTTTAAATAACTTGATATTGAAATGGTGCAGACCACGCCAGAACAGTACCTGAGGCTACACCAGTTAGCTAAGAGTATCATTCAATCACATCTGTCAACAACACCTGTAGAACATCTAGAGCAGGGCTCTCCAACCCTGTTCCTGGAGAGGTTTTCCCTCCAACCTCAGTAGTATCTAACCTGATTCCGTTTATCAACCAGTTATTATTAGAATCAGGTGTGCTAGATTAGGAAAACGGACGGTAGCACTTCAGGAACAGGTTTGGAGAGCCCTGATCTGGAGGGTTGCACAATATGAGACCATACACACTGGGCACATGTCAGTTCAACGTCTAGTTTTGATTTACAGTTGTCAACTAATGTCATTGGATTGAAAAAATAATGAAATGCCCTGATGTTGATCACTTTTTCCAAATCCAATCAGTTTTCCACGTTGTTTCAACATCATTTTTTGGTTGAAATTACATGGAAACAATGTTGATTCAACCAGTTTGTGTCCAGTGGGTATTTACATTTCTGCCATTTCAAATGCACCAGACCTAAGTTTACTTCGTCTTTCATATAAAACTCTCAGTGGAGATATACAGTGTTAAGAGTTAAACCACTGAATAAATATCAAGCCACAGGATTAAGTGAATGGCACAAACTCTTCCCTGGTGAGTGTGTGGGAAGCCCTCCCAGGTTCATCCCTGATCAAATAGACCAAGCAGCAGTCTAGAAATTACTCACCTCCCAGTGGTAAGTCCTCTAAGCACAGCTCCTCTCCTTTAGCCCTGTCTTGGCTGTCTCCGATATTTCAGCACTGCCGCCCCCCTTTTGTTAGGTGATAAAGTGGAACACGTAGAAATGCTCCATATACTTACAGTAGACCCATCTGCAGTCACATGGGTAGTCATTTAGTAAATATAATTATATTGACGAGATGGGATCCGGTGTGGGGTTGTAACCCCTGCAGTTGTAACCCCTAGAGAATGCTGCAAGTGGGAGAACATCTTCAATACCCCCCAATCACTGTGGGATCAAGTTGAAAGCTGTAAAATGTTACTCAACACATACCAGGTAGACAGGATGCTGACATCATTGTCATAGCTTAGACATTTCACCAGATCAGTAAAAGCATGCCAAATGTCATCCGGACATTCCATGTAAGTTCATGACAGGTAATACACATCACCTTACTGCTAAGTCTGTAAAGTACTTAAGTAAAAATACTTTAAAGTACTACTTAAGTAGTTTTTTTTAGGGTATCTGTACTTTACTATTTATATTTTTGACTACTTTTACTTCACTACATTCCTAAACAAAATAATGTACTTTTTACTCCATACAGTTTCCCTGACACACAAAAGTACTCATTGAGTGCTTAGCAGGACAGGAAAATGGTCAAATTCACGCACCTATCAAGAGAATATCCCTGGTCATCCCTATTGCCTCTGATCTGGCGGACTCACTAAACACATGCTTCATTTGTAAATAATGTCTGAATGTTAGAGTGTGCCCCTGGCTATCCATAATTCAATAAAAAACAAGAAAATGGTGCCGTCTGGTTTGCTTAATATAAGGAATTTGAAATTATTTGTACTTTTACTTTTGTTACTTAAGTATATTTTAGCAATTACATTTAATTTTGATACGTTCGTATATTTAAAACCAAATACTGTTAGACTTTTACTCAAGTAGTATTTTACTGTGACTTTCACTTTTGCTTGAGTCGTTTTCTATTAAGATATCTTTACTTTTACTCAAGTATGAAAATTGGGTACTTTTTCCATCACTGAGGATTTAGGGCTCCACAATGGCCATGTAATGACCTGCTATTTTTTATGTTTTTATTTAACCTTTATTTAACTAGGCAAGTTAGTTAAGAACAAATTCTTATTTACAATGATGGCCTACCCCGGCCAAACCCGGTGACGGGCTAATAATTTACGTAAAGGATTTAGACTTGCTGTTTCACAAGGTCTCCAGAAACACGATCGCTCAACTATGTAGTTTATTGGCCTGTAAATGTGAATGTGAGACTTTTTATTTGGAAGGGAAAAAACATGTGATTCTAGTTAGTCTAATTATGAAGTGGCATATGGTTCTCCCACTTAGCAATAACAAAAATACCAATATCAATATCCAGTGAGTGGGTTTAGATCAAGTTCAATGACTCATACTGATCCTGATCAAGACCTAATAAAAATACATCCGCGTCTTGGCAAGGTGGTGCGTGTACATGGCTCTGGGGGGATTGGTTTCAAATTGACAGGTTTCACCAGACTTGACATGCTCAGACAGCTTGAATAGGAGAGGCTGTGACCTAACAGCAGGGACAACTCAGACTGGCCTCATGAAAGGAGAGGCTGTGACCTAACAGCAGGGACAACTCAGACTGGCCTCATGAAAGGAGAGGCTGTGACCTAACAGCAGGGAAAACTCAGAGGCACGACAGGAGGACAAACATAAACGTCACTCTCTGACCTGACAGACAACATGGCGACAGTAAACCGCCACACACCCATAGACAATATAAAACACCTGTGACCTGACAGACAACATGGCGACAGTCAACCGCCACACACCCATAGACAATATAAAAGACCTGTGACCTGACAGACAACATGGCGACAGTCAACCGCCACACACCCATAGACAATATAAAACACCTGTGACCTGACAGACAACATGGCGACAGTCAACCGCCACACACCCATAGACAATATAAAACACCTGTGACCTGACAGACAACATGGCGACAGTCAACCGCCACACACCCATAGACAATATAAAACACCTGTGACCTGACAGACAACATGGCGACAGTCAACCGCCACACACCCATAGACAATATAAAACACCTGTGACCTGACAGACAACATGGCGACAGTCAACCGCCACACACCCATAGACAATATAAAACACCTGTGACCTGACAGACAACATGGCGACAGTCAACCGCCACACACCCATAGACAATATAAAACACCTGTGACCTGGCAGTGAACAGGGCGACAGTCTACCAACATAGCACCTTGCCTCGGGACAAAACAAAAACACCTGTTTGTTCATACATCATTATAAGAATAGTATCACCCTTCCTCCTCAATCCCTCATTAAACCATAGAAGAAATATGAACATGTTATTACTGTAAGATGTATTGTGTTGATCTAATGAGGTGAAGAACTGGTTGCAGGTGGATGTGGGTAGTCAAGCTCACCAGACGTGATTCATATAGCAACAGCATTACATATAATTACAAAAATGTGTTTGAACTTCAGGGGGTTGTCTATACAAATAGAATACACTGGGAGAGGGAAATTTAGTTTTATTGTTCTTGACAACATTGCTGATTTTCAATAATGCAATTGGACATTAGACCCTACTGACTAAATGGAAGGTACCCATACCGGTGAGGTGGATTCATCAAAGTGCATAGCATCGAAGCACAATTTGTGATTGCAAACACATCTCTTGCATTGAACATAAACACATCGATTAAATAGAAGTCTCAAAGACATAGTGGGCAAGTCCTGAACTTGATGGAATCTGATCGTATAACTTTAGTATGATACAATGGCTTATTTGTTATGACAAATATGTTGTGACCTGTAACTGTAGCCGTGTGTGATTCATGATATGGGTTATGAGTGAGTCATGATATGACAACCTCAATGGCTTCCCAGCAAACCTTTCATGGTCATTTGGCCGGAGACATAATAACGACTAATTCTATATCTGCACAATTATGGTCCTTTCAGAGATGATTTATTGAGGGGCTTAAGTGGATATTTTTGGAAATGCAATGAAAATGTACACTTGACACGTAATGCCTGAATGTTGAACTGCTGGGTCGTTCATAGATGACGTGGTCTAGGATGCTTGATGTTATTGGAATCCTGGGATGACTGGAACCATGCTGAGTCAAGCGCTATTCATACTGCAATATGAAAACAATGCTGTGCTGCTGGTCACAGTAATGACATCAATATCTCAAATGTCGGGATCTGGCGCCTCTGTGCTGGCCATTAGGTTCATTGTGTCATTTCAGAATGTTTCAGGAATAACATACTGTATAGGCCTATCAATGAAATAACTACAGATGTAGGATCCTAATTTGAGCCAGTTTGCAACAACAGCGAATGTGAATTATTATGTGGATTATAATTAATATACATTTCTGTAGGGGTTGATATATTTTTCATTAGGGAAAATCAGGTCTGAAATATCAAAGTGGAAATTACGAACTTCAGAAGCCTTTTTAAACCTCAAATACAATACAAGTTTTACATTTCCTGCAACAGGGTGATCAAATTAAGACTAAAGAGATATTACTTATACATTATGTATTCACCTGAAGGAAAAGTCATCAGACCAGAATGCCAATTGCTGTATTTATTGTATTTTTCTAAAGTACATTTTTGAATTTCTCAAAGAAACAAAAAGATTGTGCTATTCTTGATAATGACTTAATGCTTCAATTTAATTTACTTATCATTTGAGATAAATAATTCAGTCAATATAGTAAATGGAACAAAAAAACAAATATTAGCTAAGTCTGTCAGACAACTGAAGATAAGTTGGCCAGTAACATAACTAATGAGTAATACACAACATGTAGTCATGTATCCAGCATACATGTACCAAAACTCTAACATATTCAAATATTACTTAACATATTCAAATATTCCTTAAATAAATATATTTTTCTACATAGAATCAAGGAGAGCAGAAGAAAACATCCAAGGTAATTCATCAATGTGATTTAGTCTGTGAAGAAAAAAAACAAAGAGAGAAAATAAAGAAAATTAGTAATGAAATAATCACAAAAATTGTATCCAAATCAACACAGACATCACTTCTATAATAGAAATACGTCTTTTCAGAGGCTTACCTTTAACAACAAGTTTAGTGGAGCACTCTGCCTTGCCGAAGGAGTTAACTGCCACAACTTTGTATTCTCCGGCGTCCTTGGGCCTGACCCTAAGGATGTACATGGAGCACACGCCGTACGAGTTGGTGATGTAGTAGTTGCTGTCACCATTGATGCAGACGTTGTTCAGGTGCCATGTAACGCTTGGTGTGGGGCATCCCCGGATGGCGCAGGTCATGTACATCTGGTATCCTTTTGGTGGCGAGTGCACCTTCAGGGGGACCAGGACAGACGGTGCTTTCTCAAAGCTGACTGCCACTGGCGTGTTTGTGTTTATAGGAACTAGATAGAAAAAAAGAACAAAGTACATTTAAACGGTAAAGCATAATTGTGGATTTGGAAAACATTCCATTTCATCTCAGTCAAGTCAGGAGACTAATGTCACATTATATTTATGGATTCCAGTAAAGGCCACTTGTTTCCAACAATGCTAATCCATTGTCTGATTAAACTTGGTTAAAAGAGACTTAAACCCAAACCTAAACTGACAGCTGAACTCACTTCTGTTGCTGTTGATGCCCCAGGTGGGTGACATGGAGGGGTCTGACATGCCCATGTCGTTCTTGGCATAGATTTTGAAGTGGTACTCCCTTCCAGGCATGATGTTATTGGCCGTATATGAGTTGTCAAAGATGCGGTCTGCCACAGTGTGCCACATGCGTGTGCTGGAGTCGTGCTCGGCCACCATGTAATACAGCCTGTTGTCCAGCTCCTGGTCTGGAGAGGCCTCCCAGGACACAATGACTTTGCCATGGACAATCTGCTCCAGCTCCACTGCACCGGGAGGCTTTGGCTCATCTGGCACCACACAAGAGAGGAGAATATCAGTTACATAGGCTAACAGAGGTTTTGCAGTATATGACGAGACTGAATCCTATATGAAGATGTGCTTGTGTAATTCATTTTTTAAATCTCTGATTGATATGATAAGTGCAAGATTACTTAGAATTTGTCCCAGTGAGAAGACCACAAAAGTAGAAGACCACAACAGTATAAGACTTAAACAGTAGAATACTTCAACAGTAGAAGACTTCAACAGTAGAAGACTTCAACAGTATAAGATTTCAACAGTAGAATATTTCAACAGTAGAAGACTTCAACAGTAGAATACTTCAACAGTAGAAGACTTCAACAGTATAAAACTTCAACAGTATAAGACTTCAACAGTATACGACTTCAACAGTAGAAGACTTCAACAGTATAAGACTTCAACAGAATAAGACTTCAAATTATAAGACTTCAACAGTATAAGACTTCAACAGTATAAGACTTCAACAGTAGAATACTTCAACAGTAGAAAACTTCAACAGTACAAGACTTCAACAGTAGAATAATTCAACAGTAGAAGGCTTCAACAGTATAAGACTTCAACGGTATAAGACTTCAACAGTATAAGACTTCAACGGTATAAGACTTCAACAGTAGAATACTTCAACAGTAGAATACTTCAACAGTAGAAGACTTCAACAGTAGAAGATTTCAACAGTAGAATACTTCAACAGTAGAATACTTCAACAGTAGAAGACTTCAACAGTAGAATAATTTAACAGTATAATATTTTAACAGTATAAGACTTCAACAGTATAAGACTTCAACAGTAGAAGACTTCAACAGTAGAAGACCTCAACAGCATAAGACTTCAACGGTATAAGACCTCAGCAGTAGAAGATTTCAACAGTTAAAGACTTCAACAGTCATGTCTTGTTCATACAAAGTTTTGTAGGACAATCTAACCAGGTCACACAAGGATATCTTCTTTTGCCAGTAGAACATAATAACAAAGGGGTATTTGGAATTACCTGTGACCAGGACCTCAATGTCAAAGCTGGCCTCTCCAACTTTATTCTTAGCCACAATGGTGAAGTTTCCTGAATCAGAGCGTGTTGATGAGGGGATCACAAGCTGGGAACAGCCCTCTGTGTTGATGATCTGTATAAAACCGGATACAGGCTCATCGTCCTTCATCCAAGTGATCTCTGGTGGAGGCTCAGCCTAAAGACAATTTCAACAGCATTAGATTAGAGAGAACAACTGTTGGTTGGATTTGCCACATGTTTTGCTGTTGTACATTATTTGTTTTTTTTACACCCCTTTATTGATCTTGTCTCATCCCTTCAACTCCCCAACAGGCTCGGGAGAGTCATGTGTCCTCCGAAACATGACCCGCATAACCGCGCTCGTTAACACCCGCCAGATCCAATGTGTCGGAGGAAACACTGTTCAACTTGGGTCAGCCTGCAGGCACCCGGCTCGCCACAAGTAGTCGCTAGTGCGCGATGTGCCAAGTAAAGCCCCCCTGGCCAAACCCTCCCCTAACCCGGACGACACTGGGCTAATTTTGCACCGTCCTATGGGACTCCCGGCCACGGCCGGTTGTGGCACAGCCCAGGAATGAACCCGGGTCTGTAGTAACACCTCTAGCACTGCGATGCAGTGCCTTAGACCGCTGCGCCACTTGGGAGGCCCGTACACACCTTTTCTATTCATATAATATCCATGCTATCTTTACACACCACTAGGTACACCCATCTAGTAGCGTTCGGACCCCCCTTTCCTGCAAGAACAGCCTGAATTCTTCGGGCATGGAAACGTTGCTCACTTGGTATGAAGGGACCTAACGTGTGGCAGGAAAACATTCTCCACACCATTACACCACCTCCACCAGCCTGTACCGTTGACACCAGTCAGGATGCGGCCCATACTCCAAATCCTGACTGCCATCAGCAGACCATTACAAGGCAATGTTTTTCCACTCCTCAATTGTCCAGTGATGGTGATCTCGTGCCCACTGGAGCTGCTTCTTCTTGTTTTTAGCTGATAGGAGTGGAACCCGGTGTGGTCGTCTGCTACTATAGCCCATCCGTTCCAAGATGCCGTTCTAGACACAACTGTTGTACTGCACCGTTATTTGCCTGTTTGTGGCCCACCTGTTAGTTTGCACAATTCTTGCCATTCTCCTTCGACCTCTCGTCAACGAGCTGTTTTCGCCCACAGGACTGCCTCTGACTGGATGTTTTTTGTTTGTCATACCATTCTCAGTAAACCCTACACACTGTCTTGTGAAAAGCCCAGTAGGCCAGCTGTTTCTGAGATACTGGAACGGCCTGTCTGGCACCGACGATCATACATACCACGCTCAAAGTCGCTCGTTTTGCCCATTCTGACGTTCAATCAAACAGTAACTGAATGCTCCGATGCCTGTCTGCCTGCTTTATATAGCAAGCCACGGCAACGTGACTCACTGTCTGTAGGAGTGAACCCTTTTCATGAACATGGTGGTGTACCTAATAAACTGGCTGATGAGTGTGCATTTATATTCCGGTCTCTGACATTGCTTTCTTAATTACTACTTTATTTTTTGGGGGGGGGGATTATGTGTGTGTTTTTTTATTTTAATGTTTTATTGCTAGGGATTCCGACACTGTTGTAGCTAGAAACACAAGCGATAGCATCTGCACATCTGTGTACACGATCAATACATTTTATTTTATTTTGTTGATTACCTCATACAGAACTTTGATTCTCACAGAATTTCCCGCCCTGATCACCATGAAGTCCTCTGGATCTTTGAATGTAGGCTTCACTGAAAAACAAACAAACAGGAAGTGTATTTTTAGGAAGTGTTCGACACTGGCCACACATTGGCTCTACCAGGTCATTTTCTTCCTCTGGACTGAGGCAAACAACATTTTAAGTTTATTGCTGGTGGACAAATAAATGGTCATCTCTTACTTCTACAGACTGCATGCAGATGGATAATTGAGGAGACTTACTGTTGGGATTCTTTGCAGTCACCATCACAGAGGGGAGACTGAACTCTCCCGCCCCAGAAACATTGATGGCCGATACCCTGAACTCATACTCCGCCCCCTCAACAACATCTTTCACCGCATACTCCAGCACTATGGTTGAAGTATATACAAGAAAATGCATTTGAAAGGTAACATCTGCATCCTTATTTCATCCAGCTTCCAGAACAAAGTATTCTGATTGACATCTATTTGATTGACGTTCTTAATTTAAGGTTAGGGTTAGGCATTAGGGTTAGCAGTGTGGTTAAGGTTTTGTTTAAAATCAGATTGTATGACTTTGTGACTGTGCCAGCTAGTGACTACCCCGCAGAGCATGAGGCATCTCAATAAATGCCAACCTGATGATGGGCATGATGTGTCAAATTCTCTATTTAAAAAAAGACCAACAATTTGTAATCTGAAATCCAGACCTTCAATAGGCTCAGTGACTGGGTTCAAAGCGATCCACTGAGCTGTGTCCTTCTTGCGTTTCTCCAGTTGATAGCCATCAATCTTAATTCCTCCGTCATCTTCCGGGGGCTCCCATTTCAGGTTGATGCAGGTCTTTGACGCGCTGACCACTTTGGGTGCTCCTGGTCGGCCAGCAAATACTAATACATGGAGATAAGATAAAATAATAATGAAAACAATGAACAAGTACGGTAGAGATGGAGGAATGAGGCTCACCATTGGCTCACCCAAGTAACACATTTTATTACACTCTCAGGTACTGATAGAGTGAGTGGACCCATGTTTGGACATGTGGACCAATGTTTGGACATGTGGACCAATGTTTGGACATGAGGACCAATGTTTGGACATGCGGACCAATGTTTGGACATGCGGACCAATGTTTGGACATGCGGACCAATGTTTGGACATGTGGACCAATGTTTCGGCATGCGGACCAATGTTTGGACATGTGGACCAAAGTTTCGGCATGTGGACCAATGTTTGGACATGTGGACCAATGTTTCGGCATGCGGACCAATGTTTCGGCATGTGGACCAATGTTTCGGCATGTGGACCAATGTTTCGGCATGTGGACCAATGATTTGGCATAAGGGTGTTTCTTTTCAGATTCTACTCACTCAGTACGCCAGCCATTGTTTCCTCTGTCTGCAGTGCATCACTGGTCCCCTCTGGGTTCACTGCGTAGATCTTGTAGATGTACAGTTTCCCATGGACCACATTCCTGTCCCTGTAGGTGGTTTTGTCAGCTGCGACATCCCCCATCTTCTTCCACATTGTCTGTCCCAGCTGCTGGCGCTCAATGATGTAGTTAGTCAGCGGGGAGCCACCGTTGTCCTTAGGAGTGCCCCACTGCAGCTCAATCACAGTGGAGTTGGTCTCCAAGATTTCCACTGGGCCTTCTGGTGGGCCGGGCTTGCCTGTCGGGGACACATTGTGGTAAAGTATGACCTCAATCGTGTTGCAGAAGTATTTCTGGATGTGGAATTGTCACTGCATACATAGCCAATAGAAAAATCAACAACAATTTGGTCTTCTCACCAAGAACAATCAGTCGAGATTTGGCCTCTATAGTGCCAAATGGGTTTTTGAGTTGAATCTTGATCTCCCCAGCGTCAGAACGCAAACATTCCCGGAGCATCAGCCGGCTGTGGTTGACCTCCTTCACCAACTTCACCCCACCACCATCCTTCAGCTGTTTGCCATCCTTAAACCATTTCACCTCCAAGTTGTCCTGTGGTGTATAAGGCATCTTCCAGGACGCATTCTGGCCCACTTTTACTGTCACAGGCTTAGAAAACTTGTGGAGGTCATCAGCATCAAAGCCGGGCACATCTAGGATGTAAAAGAAAGAAACACAAGACTGCTTAATGCTCCATAGTCTACCAAACTAAAATGTGAGGTACAGTTCAATGTACAGCCGTCATACCTCCCACAGTGACTTTTGCCTCTGATTTAAATCCTTCTGCTTCAAAGTGATAGACTCCAGCGTCATCTTCACTGCTGCTATGAATGGTCAGCGTGTGTCTCTTTCCGTCTTTCACTATGGCTAGCCCATCTGTGGTGGATAACTGAAAAGGCAAAGCCAAAGTAAGGTCAAATTGTTTGTGATAAAAAAAGAGCTCAATTGAAATGTTTTGTCCACTTATGGAGTTTTTTCCTGGTCAGGTCAGTGTCAGGACCAACTTGACGACCTATTCAAAGGAATTGAATCGCGTGAACACTGTTGTAGTAATTTCTACTATAAAGCCATTACCTTCTCTCCATCCTTGAACCAGGCCCCATTAACTTCATGGCTCATCTCACAAACCAGTTCCCCTTTCTTGCCACGGAGAGCGAAGAGATCCGAGAGTCCACTCTTAATGCTGTATCCTAGACAGCACAATATACAAAACAATTAGCATCTATGCGTTGGTTTGTATTCACAGCTATTACTAGTGGAGTAATGGAGTAATCTACTGTGAAGAAAATAATGAAGTAAAGATACCGTTCTGTTTTTGCTATTTTCTAATGAAGCAATAAGGCCTGAGGAGGTGTGGTATATGGCCAATATACCACGGCTAAGGGCTGTTCTTAAGCACGACGCAACGTGGAGTGCCTGGACACAGCCCTTAGCCATGGTATATTGGCCATATATCACAAAACCCGAGGTAAACTGGTTACCAACGTAATTAGAGCAGTACAAATAAATTTTTTCTCTCACATGAATAGTATACGGTCTGATATACCATGGCTGTCAGCCAATCAGCATTCAGGGCTCGAACCACCCTGTTTATAATGTTACATGTAATAGTGTTTTTTATTTGGTTCTGTGAATGCTTTTACACATTCGGTCTATGTGTGTTAAAAACACGGTTGAGCAGCATATTAATGCATGTATATGCACTTACCTTACAAAAATAAGACAAGCTACTTTGAAATTGATGATTGAATCACAATTTCTACAGACTGCTAGTCTGGACTGGAGCCATATATTAAAACTCTGGCTGGACAAACATTTCCCAATTACCTGTTTCCACTTGCTTAATGGATACATGGTTAAATATCATTGTCATGGTTAAATATCATTATCATGGTTAAATATTATGATCATAAACATAGTTAAATATCATTATCATAGTTAAATATCATTATCATAGACATAGTTAAATATCATTATCATAGTTAAATATCATGTTAGTGTAATCTGGATTAGGACGTGTTTAATAATCAACAGTTTCTCAGTAGGGCCACATATGGTTCTTAGTAACAAGCCGTAAACGGACAAAATGCACACAATGTGGGGTCAGAGAAATATCAAAGTCACAATGTCATTACACATCCCGCCACACATCTAAGTAGGGCACACCTGGACTATCAACTAGTCATCAAGGACGTGTTTATGCTGGGATGGGACAAAAGCCTCTCCAGGACAAGGAGGGAAGAACGCAGAAGAAAAGGTAACTGCAATTCAGAGTCTAAGTCAAAGTTGTTTGAGGATTAAAGTATGCTTTCGCGTACAGGTTATTGTGGCATCCTCTTCCTTGGTTGTATATACAAACACCACTGCAAGCGTTTCAGTTCATATATTCACATCCAAAAGAGTATGAGATCATATGCAAAAAAAAGTTAAATGCAATCATTTTGACAAGCCAGTAATATATTAATTGATTGTAGAAACACTCTAAAAAGCCTCAGTAATTCAGATTAAAATTTAAATGATTTCATATGAATAACTTAATGTTATTCATATATGTTATTGCAACCATTCAATACTCAATATCTCGCTTACCACTTATTAGAAACATTCCTGAGTAATCAGATACAGGTGATTTCATATGAATAGCATAATGTTATTCATATATGTTATTGCATCCATTCAATATTCAATTGAATCTCGCAAAGTCTTACCAGTACTGTCTCCGACTGGCTGGCCAGGCACAGTGGGCGCCGGTGGGCCTTCACTATTTGACTGGCCTATTAATGATTACAACCAGACAACTCTCAGTTTTAAATATTTCACTTCAGTCTCTACTTTACAATTCAGTTATACTATACAGTGCATTTGGAAAGTATTCAGACCCCTTCCCTTTTCCCACATTTTGTTAAGTTACAGCCTTATTCTGAAACTCATACAATAAATTTTTTTACTCATCAATCTACACACAATACCCCATAATGACAAAGCAGGTTTTTTAGGTATTTTAGACTCATCTGACCAGAGTACCTTCTTCCATTCGTTTGGGGAGTCTCCCACATGCCATTTGGCGAACACCAAATGTGTTTGCTTATTTTTTTCTTTAAGTAATGGCTTTTTTCTGGCCACTCTTCCGTAAAGCCCAGCTCTGTGGAGTGTACGGCTTAAAGTGGTCCTATGGACAGATACTCCAATCTCCGCTGTGGAGCTTTGCAGCTCCTTCATGGTTATCTTTGGTCTCTTTGTTGCCTCTCTGATTAATGCTCTCCTTGCCTGGTCCATGAGTTTTGGTGGGCAGCCCTCTCTTGGCAGGTTTGATGTGGTGCTATATTCTTTCAATTTTTTAATAATGGATTTAATGGTGCTCCGTGGGATGTTCAAAGTTTCTGATATTTTTTTATAACCCAACCCTGATCTGTACTTCTCCATAACTTTTGTCCCTGACCTATTTGGAGAGGACCTTGGTCTTCATGGTGCCGCTTGCTTAGTGGTGCCCCTTGCTTAGTGGTGTTGCAGACTCCGGGGCCTTTCAGAACAGTTGTATATATACTGAGATCATGTGACAGATCATGTGACACTTTGATTGCACACAGGTGGACTTTATTTAACTAATTATGTGACTTCTGAAGGTAATTGGTTGCACCAGATCTTATTTAGAGGCTTCATAGCAAAGGGGGTGAATACATATTCACGCACCACTTTTCCGTTATTTATTTTTTTGAATTTTTTGAAACAAGTCATTTTTTTCATTTCACTTCACCAATTTGGACTATTTTGTGTATGTCCATTACATGAAATCCAAAATCAAAATCCATTTAAATTACAGGTTGTAATGCAACAAAATAGGAAAAACGCCAAGGGGGATGAATACTTTTGCAAGGCACTGTAGAAAGGGGGTTAAAACAAATAAAATGTAGGATTATGTTGTTTTATATTTTGACCAATTGGTGTAGTTAATGTTAGAAACATTATCCATTAATTTCTAGATTTAGGTCAAATGACTTTGTTAAGTCAAGAAGCAGTACATGACAAAAAAACTGTTAGGTAAACTGGGCACTCATATAACTTAGGACCACTCTTATCTCAGTAAGGTTATTGGTTCAATGCAGTTCTCAGTATCTCTCTTACCACTGTCACCACTGCCTCCATTACCTTCTCCAGATCCATCTAAATCACCTATCAGTGGTTATAACTAGTTAATAGGGGTTCCATTTACAACTGATATGATTAAATCCTTTAATTTTCTCAGCAAAACATTTTAGTCTAATACTTAGCTAACGTGAAACTAATATAGCGTTCTTCCCAATATGCAAATAGGATTACAATTGTTTCGTATATATTATAGTTGCACACTTACCTTCAACAGGAGTTCAGTAAATTCAGTAATATTAACTAAGGAAGATTAACTAAGATTACCCACTAGAATATCATGTAGATTTGACAAACTGTTATAGATGAGTGCATTAAAATGGACCAATGATGTGTCAATTGCACTTAAGATGAATAAAGTAACATGAATAAAATGTCAGAACATACAATATTTTGTGTTTACAACTTGAAATGTGTTCATGAGGGCGAGAGCAGGGCCTACTGACAAAAGCATGACACTAAATGTATAAGCATAAAATACACATAGATCAGGAATGGACAACTGGAGACCCACGGGGAGCATGGTCCCCCTTTTGGAGGCCCACGGACCTATAATAATAAATACCAAAAATATATACAGTATATATATAATTTTTTTTGGGCGGGGGAACCCAGTCAGGGTCTCAACTTACTGTTGAGTTAGAATAATAGAATACACAAGTTGCAATTTCAAAATTTGGTTTTGCATCAGCAATCACTCAATTAGCCCATGTCAGCTAAATGTATTTTGATTGGTAAATGGAAAACACATTTTAGAAAGCACAGTGTCTGTGTTCATTCTGCAATAAAGGATAAGAACCAAGCAGCAGAAACGGTCTAGTAAACAAACAGAACAAAACAAAATAATAAAGTCAAGCAACGACACTGAATGTATTACACTATGAATTATGGTGTAATACAACAAACCAAAGACGTTGACTTGACCTTAGCTGATCATGAAGGTAAACCCAAAATCAAGTGCAGTGTTTCTCAACCTCTCAACCCAGTAAGCTGTGGTCCTTCCTCCTTAGAAGACCACTTTGTTCAAACTAGCACTTTAGAGCTGATGGAATCAGTCTTAGTGAACCATCCTTGGGACCGGTCAGCAATGTGCCAGTCCACCGATTGGAGGTTGGAGGTGGAGAGACACTGGTCTAGTCTATAAACCACTACAGTGCATTCGGAAAGTATTTAGACTTTTTCAAAATTGTATTACATTACAGCCTTGTTCTAAAATTGATTAAATAAAAATGTGTCCTCATTAATCTACACACAATACTCCATAATGAGAAAGCGAAAACAGGTTTTTAGAATTTTTGCTAATTTATAAAAACAAAAAAACTGAAATACCTTATTTACAGAAGTATTCAGACCCTTTGCTATGAGACTCGAAATTGAGCTCAGGTGCATCCTGTTTCCATTGATCATCCTTGAGATGTTTCTACAACTTGATTGGAGTCCACCTGTTGTAAATTCAATTGATTGGACATGATTTGGAAAGGCACACACCTATCTGTATAAGGTCCCACAGTTGACAGTGCATGTCAGAGCAAAAACCAAGTCATGAGGTCGAAGGAATTGTCCATAGAGGGGAAGGGTACCATAAACCATTCTGCAGCATTGAAGGTCCCCAAAAACACAGTGGCCTCCATCATTCTTAAATAGAAGAAGTTTGGAACCACCAAGAAGACTCTTCCTAGAGTTGGCCGCCCGGCCAAACTGAAAAATCAGGGGAGAAGGGCCTTGGTCAGGGAGGTGACCAAGAACCCGATGGGCACTCTGACATGGCTCCAGAGTTCTTCTGTGAAGATGGGAGAATCATCCAGAAGGACAACCATACCTGCAGCACTCCACTAATCAGGCCTTTATTGTAGTGTGGCCAGACAGAAGCCACTCCTCACTAAAAGGTGCATGACAGGTTGCTTGGAGTTTGCCAAAAGGCACCTAAAGACTCTCAGATTATCTGGTCAGATGAAACCAAGATTGAACTCTTTGGCCTGAATGCCAAGCGTCATGTCTGGAGCAAACCTGGCACCATCCCTACGGTGAAGCATGGTGGTGGCAGCATCATGCTGTGGGGATGTTTCTCAGTGGCAGTGACTGTGAGACTAGTCAGGATAGAGGGAAAGATGAACAGAGCAAAGTACAGAGAGATACTTGATGAAAACCTGCTCCAGAGCTCTCAGGACCTCAGACTGGGGTGAAGGTTCACCTTCCAACAGGACTACGACCCCAAGCACACAGCCAAGACAATGCAGGAATGGCTACGGGACAAGTCTCTGAATGTCCTTGAGTGGCCCAGCCAGAGCCCGGACTTGAACCCGATCGAACATCTCTGGAGAGACCTGAAAATAGCTGTGCAGCGATGCTCCCCATCCAACCTGCCAGAGCTTGAGAGGATCTGCAGAGAAGAATGTGAGAAACTCCCCAAATACAGGTGTGCCAGGCTTGTAGCGTCATACCCAAGAAGACTTGAGGCTGTAATTGCTGCCATAGGTGCTTCAACAAATTACTGAGTAAAGGGTCTGAATACGTATGTAAATGTGATATTTCCATTTATTTTATTCTTATAACCTGTTTTTGCTTTGCCATTATGGGGAATTGTGTGTAGATTAATGAGGGAAAAAAACTATTTAATAAATTTTAGAATAATGCTGTAACGTAACAAATAGGGAAAAAGTCAAGGGGTCTGAATACTTTCCGAATGCACTGTATAAGGTATCAGTTGTTTTGAAGTGCTGTGAAGTAGACAAACAAGATACTCAATCATGAGGAAAACACACAAACTGTCAAAGCCATTATGTCTCAAATGGCTTCCATATTTGACATGGTATCCATGCAGAGGTAAACACATCCCTCATGGTATCTTACCCTTATTATCCACAGATTTACGGTCAGACCCTTCAACTGCCGGTGCCTGTTTTGGTGCTCCTACAGTATTAACCACCATCACAACTAGTCAATGACGGTCAGGAATGCATTTTAAATGATATATTCCATGCCAAATATCTGCTATATGATACTTCAACGTAAATATCAATGAACTACAAAATGACCTGGAATGAGATAATATTAATGATCAGGATACAGTTCAGACAGAACCATGTACTCTATCGTACACGTCCATGTGTTGTACATGGATAATAGAAAAGACTGAAAAGAGAATTTAAGAGTTTGTTCTACAAAATGACTTGGAATAAGATTAAGTTGGATCTCTGTCACACGTGCAATCAGTGTCCTTACCTGTTTGGGAAGCCTCTACCACCTTAGCTTTAGCTTTAGCTTTAGCTCCAGTCTCAGGTGCTGCAGGGTCATTAGCAGCTCTCTCTTCCTTGATTGCTTTCACCTTCTCCATCAGCACCTCTCTGTCTGCTGTGTTTTTAACGGCCTGCTCTTGGGCAATTGCCATCAGGTCAACTCCAGCTCCTCCGGCCCTTGTGGTTTTACGTTGTTTCTTTTTGCCGGGTTCACTCTTGTCGGCTGGACCAAAGACATGACCGGAGAGATTGAGTGAGTCAAACACGGAGTCAACATGGAGTCAACATGGAGTTAACTTGGAGTCAACATGGAGTCAACATGGAGTCAACATGGAGTTAACTTGGATTCAACATGGAGTCAACAGTGGAATGACAGCAAAATGGTACTGGTGCAGTACATCATCTTACCTTCAACAACAAGAAAGGCATTGCAAGATTTGATTCCTGCCACAGCTGCATAGATGCCTTTGTCCACCATTGCAACGTCTTTAATGATTAGTCTGTGGATGAGCTTGTCTTCTGAAACCTCAATATCATATTTGTCCCCTGCCTCCAATGGTAAGTTCTTGCCAACCCACATGATCTTGCTGAAGGGTTGTGACAGGACACACTCAAACACAGCATCCTCTCTCTCCATGGCCTTACATTCCTGAATCTTGACCAGGAAGTCCACCATGGGAACTGAAAAAGACACGTCATTGATGAGCGAGCAATCTGGTACCCAGTTTATTAATAACTAAACATGCATGGCAGACATTTGTCCTTCCTATTTTTATTTATATATGTACTGTATATAATATTTTAGATACACTTAAACCCATTCTCATTCAGACTGGATACAATGTCTGTATTAAATTATTCAATTATTGCACATACGTTGCTTGCAAAATAGTCATCCATTGTTATTGCTCTACATAACACTGGGAATATTGACCTAAGGTGTGTGGATGGATACACTCTTAGAAAAAAAGGTGTTATCTAGAACCATAAAGGGTTCTTCGACTGTCGCAATAGGGCAACCCTTTGAAGAATCATGTTTGGTTGCTGGTAGAACCCTTTTGGTTCCATGTAGAACCCTTTCTACAGAGGGTTCTACATGGAACCAAAAAGGGTTCTACCTAGAACCAAAAAGGGTTCTCCCATGGGGACCGCTGAAGAACCCTTTTGGAACCCTTTTTTTCTGAGAGTGTATTGCTGAACTTACTCTTAAAATCGGTGGAGAATACATTTACGTCCTCAACATCCACCTGGTAGAGCCCAGCGTCATCAGGAAACAGATCCCTTACGCTGAACTGATATTTTCGGCCCACTATCTTAAGGCTGTGTTTCATTGAATCTCCCAATTCCTTGGTGTATGGAATCATCACTCCATCCTGTGGGGAGAATTGTAAAATACTTTTTCTCTTGGGAAAACACAATGGAATGAACAACTGTAATCAGCAACAGAACTGTACTGTCTTTGTCAAGTATTTTACTGTGGATTTTACTGCAACTTTAAGTCTGTTCACATAAACGATAGAAACTCAAGGTACATACTGTGTCATTGGTAGCATTCATTCATTCACCAACAGATTACTGGTATAAAATGAACGATGGTAGCAATTTACATTGTGATAGAGTGACACAAGGTACATACAGTGGGGAGAACAAGTATTTGATACACTGCCGATTTTGCAGGTTTTCCTACTTACAAAGAATGTAGAGGTCTGTCATTTTTATCATAGGTACACTTCAATTGTGAGAGACGGAATTTAAAATAAAAATCCAGAAAATCACATTGTATGATTTTTAAGTAATTAATTTGCATTTTATTGCATGACATAAGTATTTGATCACCTACCAACCAGTAAAAATTCCGGCTCTCAAAGACCTGTTGGTTTTTCTTTAAGAAGCCCTCCTATTCTCCACTCATTACCTGTATTAAATGCACCTGTTTGAACTCGTTAACTGTATAAAAGACACCTGTCCACACACTCAATCAAACAGACTCCAACCTCTCTACAATGGCCAAGACCAGAGAGCTGTGTAAGGACATCAGGGATAAAATTATAGACCTGCACAAGGCTGGAATGGGCTACAGGACAATAGGCAAGCAGCTTGGTGAGAAGGCAACAACTGTTGGCGCAATTATTAGAAAATGGAAGAAGTTCAAGATGACGGTCAATCACCCTCGGCCTGGGGCTCCATGCAAGATCTCACCTTGTGGGGTATCAATGATCATGAGGATGGTGAGGGATCAGCCCAGAACTACACGGCAGGACCTGGTCAATGACCTGAAGAGAGCTGGGACCACAGTCTTAAAGAAAACCATTAGTAACACACTACGCCGTCATGGATTAAAATCCTGCAGCGCACGCAAGGTCCCCCTGCTCAAGCCAGCGCACGTCCAGGCCCGTCTGAAGTTAGCCAATGACCATCTGGATGATCCAGAGGTGGAATGGGAGAAGGTAATGTGGTCTGATGAGACAAAAATAGAGCTTTTTGGTCTAAACTCCACTCGCCGTGTTTGGAGGAAGAAGAAGGATGAGTACAACCACAAGAACGCCATCCCAACCGTGAAGCATGGAGGTGGAAACATCATTCTTTGGGGATGCTTTTCTGCAAAGGGGACATGACGACTGCACCGTATTGAGGGGAGGATGGATGGGGCCATGTATCTCGATCTTGGCCAACAACCTCCTCCCCTCAGTAAGAGCATTGAAGATGGGTCGTGGCTGGGTCTTCCAGCATGACACCGACCCGAAACACACAGCCAGGGCAACTAAGGAGTGGCTCCGTAAGAAGCATCTCAAGGTCCTGGAGTGGCCTAGCCAGTCTCCAGACCTGAACCCAATAGAAAATCTTTGGAGGGAGCTGAAAGTCCGTATTGCCCAGCGACAGCCCCGAAACCTGAAGGATCTGGAGAAGGTCTGTATGGAGGAGTGGGCCAAAATCCCTGCTGCCGTGTGTGCAAACCTGGTCAAGACCTACAGGAAACATATGATCTCTGTAATTGCAAACAAAGGTTTATGTACCAAATATTATGTTCTGCTTTTCTGATGTATCAAATACTTATGTCATGCAATAAAATGTAAATGAATTACTTAAAAATCATACAATTTGATTTTCTGGATTTTTGTTAGATTCCGTCTCTCACAATTGAAGTGTACCTATGATAAAAATTACAGACCTCTACATGCTTTGTAAGTAGGAAAACCTGCAAAATCAGCAGTGTATCAAATACTTGTTCTTCCCCACTGTAGATAGATTGACTAGTTATTGACTTATGTGCATACTGATGTAGGATCTTAATTTCGTTGCTGAGAATTTTTCCTGCTCGGCAGGAAATGCAAACTTTGAATATATTTTCAGTTTGAAAAAGGCTTCTAAAGTTTGTCATTTTCACTTTGAAAATTCAGACTTGATTTGCCTTAACAAAAAATGTGTTAATCCCTACAAAAATGTCCATTCAATATAATCCACATAATAATTCACATTTCCTGTTGCTGCAGGATTATATTTCTGCTGTAGCAAACTGGCTCAAATTAAGATCCTACATCTGTATGTTCAACCTTCTTCCACTGTCCATGAGTCTAACCTTGTAGAGGAAGATCCTACTGCTTGGTTCAATGAGATCCATGTCTATTGTAAAGGTTGCAGAGCCATCGGGTCCAACTTCAATATGTTTCAGGTTAGATAGGTTTTGAATGAACTGAATAAACAAAAATGTGAATTAAACGGAGAAACGACATTGACCACTACTTTAATATCAAGATTTACTCAGCCCCCCTGAACTCTCTATGATCTCAGGAATATAAGCTTGTGATATTGTAAATAACATTATAACATTATACCTTAGCTTGCTCTTCCTCCCTCTCCTTCTTCATCTCATTCAGTGTCTTCAGCATAAAGCGGAAGTCAGTGACTCCAAACTCCAACATCAGGCTCTCATAGTCTTTCTTGTCAGCACTTAACAGGAGTTCCCAAAACTTTGGATCTATTTCTCCATCTTCTTTCTTTTCCATTTTGGGACGAATTTTACTAGTATGACCCCAAAAAAATAATGGTCCTCAATGCTTATGTTTACGGTTAATAAAAGTTGAAATAAACCATACACAGTTGTTACTGAAATATAAATAAAACCATGGCAATGTCAGTTAAAAAAAATACCTTTTTCTCTTCAGTACAGATTTAAAATCTCCAACAGGTTGCACCTGTGCGTCCGCTTGTGCTTTCTTGAACCCAACTAAAAGATAGAAAGATTATATTTTGAGCTACTATTATAAAGACTTGAACAAGGACATACAGTGGGGAAAAAAGTATTTAGTCAGCCACCAATTGTGCAAGTTCTCCCACTTAAAAAGATGAGAGAGGCCTGTAATTTTCATCATAGGTACACGTCAACTATGACAGACAAAATGAGAAGAAAAAAAATCCAGAAAATCACATTGTAGGATTTTTAATGAATTTATTAGCAAATTATGGTGGAAAATAAGTATTTGGTCAATAACAAAAGTGTCTCAATACTTTGTTATATACCCTTTGTTGGCAATGACACAGGTCAAACGTTTTCTGTAAGTCTTCACAAGGTTTTCACACACTGTTGCTGGTATTTTGGCCCATTCCTCCATGCAGATCTCCTCTAGAGCAGTGATGTTTTGGGGCTGTCGCTGGGCAACACGGACTTTCAAATCCCTCCAAAGATTTTCTATGGGGTTGAGATCTGGAGAGTGGCTAGGCCACTCCAGGACCTTGAAATGCTTCTTACGAAGCCACTCCTTCGTTGCCCGGGCGGTGTGTTTGGGATAATTGTCATGCTGAAAGACCCAGCCACGTTTCATCTTCAATGCCCTTGCTGATGGAAGGAGGTTTTCACTCAAAATCTCACGATACATGGCCCCATTCATTCTTTCCTTTACACGGATCAGTTGTCCTGGTCCCTTTGCAGAAAAACAGTCCCAAAGCATGATGTTTCCACCCCCATGCTTCACAGTAGGTATGGTGTTCTTTGGATGCAACTCAGCATTCTTTGTCCTCCAAACACGACGAGTTAAGTTTTTACCAAAAAGTTATATTTTGGTTTCATCTGACCATATGACATTCTCCCAATCCTCTTCTGGATCATCCAAATGCACTCTAGCAAACTTCAGATGGGCCTGGACATGTACTGGCTTAAGCAGGGGGACACGTCTGGCACTGCAGGATTTGAGTCCCTGGAGGCGTAGTGTGTTACTGATGGTAGGCTTTGTTACTTTGGTCCCAGCTCTCTGCAGTTCATTCACTAGGTCCCCCCGTGTGGTTCTGGGATTTTTGCTCACCGTTCTTGTGATCATTTTGACCCCACTGGGTGAGATCTTGCGTGGAGCCCCAGATCGAGGGAGATTATCAGTGGTCTTGTATGTCTTGCATTTCCTAATAATTGCTCCGACAGTTGATTTCTTCAAACCAAGCTGCTTACCTATTGCAGATTCAGTCTTCCCAGCCTGGTGCAGGTCTACAATTTTGTTTCTGGTGTCCTTTGACAGCTCTTTGGTCTTGGCCATAGTGGAGTTTGATGTGTGACTGTTTGAGGTTGTGGACAGGTGTCTTTTATACTGATAACAAGTTCAAACAGGTGCCATTAATACAGGTAATGAGTGGAGGACAGAGGAGCCTCTAGTAGAAGAAGTTACAGGTCTGTGAGGGCCAGAAATCTTGCTTGTTTGTAGGTGACCAAATACTTATTTTCCACCATAATTTGCAAATAAATTCATAAAAAATCCTACAATGTGATTTTCTGGAGAAAAAAAAATCTAATTTTGTCTGTCATAGTTGAAGTGTACCTATGATTACAGGCCTCTCTCATCTTTTTAAGTGGGAGAACATGCACAATTGGTGGCTGACTAAATACTTTTTTTCCCCCACTGTACAGTACATTGGCATATTTTTTCCAGACTTGGTTTAATCAATGCATTTATTCTTATTTGATTAGCAATTTATGTGAAAAAAAGTGCAAACCTCAAGTTAACACTACCCCTCTTTTCCATAGCAAACATTTTCATCTGGCCTCTTACCTTCAATAACATTGAGGACCACTGTGACCACTGCTCTTCCAAACTCATTAGCTGCAAAGCATTTGTAGGTGTCTGCTTGTTCTGGTTGTACATTGGCCATCTGTTGAAAAAACAAACACAGTTCTTGATGTGAAGTCCTTCAAAGAGCTCCAGCCTGCATGCAATCATTATTTGAACAAAATGTGTGATTGATTTCATATTTCATAAATATTTGTACAATGTATTTTTCACATTATTGTGCATTCATATAATGTGGTTACTGTTCTTACTTGCCTCAAATAAGTGCTCACGAGTAGCAGGGTCATATTTTGTTACATATTTCGATGTATCTGACACATCTCCATTATTTCTGCCCCATGTCACGGTTGGTTCTGGATCTCCAACAACCAGGGCTTTGAAGAAGGCGAATTTACCTGAAAACAAAAAAGTTGCGTGAAAAGAGGAAGCAATTTAGTACAAAGGCAGGTTAGTTTATTCAAGTTAATTCATTTAGACTATTCAGGACGTCTTGAGAGGGGCCATGGTACAAATAGAGGTGCAACTGGAAATGTTGGCTATTAACTGTATACATATAACCCACATATTTTGACAAAAATACTTGGTGGAAAAACAATCATCTTACTTGGACGATACTATAATAACTCGACATGAGTAGGCTACAAAGGCAAACGCACACACACTTTGTTATTACTGGCAGAGCTCTGTAGCAACAAACATGTTCACTCCCATCAGCTGTCCTAGAATGACGGACATAGGCATCTTCAAAATGCCTGCCCTAACCTGGCAAAAACCCTTATCACCTAAAACAGGTAGCCTATATTTTCAATAGAGAGTGATCACAATGGCCAATAATTCCCTCATTACACATTATAAAGACCTAATTTGAATCAACATTAACGTTAACAAAAACGTTTAAAAAGGCAGAAACCAAATAATGAGAGGGTGCGCAACCTTTGCTTAAAAAGCCGCGAACTTCACGGGAACACGCTCCACCATTTATCGTCGTGGGGTTAGAGTAGGCATTGATTTAATATTATTCCTGCACAGCAGGTGGCAATAGAGAAATATGGAGGATATGGAGCTTGAACCTCATGGCGGTGGAAATAAGGAGGAATGGACTTTGGTCCAGAAGAATGGAAAAATAAGCACAATTGCTGTGGGAAATAATACTTATAGTTTTGACAATACCCCCATTGTATATGGTAGGAGTGCACTTTTTGAAAGAGATGAATATGCCTGACTTGTGGAACCAGTTCGAAACATCCCAAATGATGGAGAAAGCTTTGAGTTAAATCAGTGAATATTATGAGACGTGGGCTAGTTCTGATTTCTTGTGTTTCTGCGGATCACAAAAAACATCTGTTGGATATCTGTCAAGTTGATGGAAATGTATGTATCATGCTTTGAGGCACCTGTCATGGGAGTCATTTCTGTCTTGGAGGATGTTGACATTGCTCTATTAAAGAAAATTCCAGGAGTGGTCGATGCACAGAGGATGAATCGTATGGTTATTGGCAGGAAGGAGAAGAGTTTGTATGTCCTAGTGTTTTTTAATGTGGAGTCGCTCCCTACTGGAGTGTAACTGGGATACGTGTACTATCCTGTTCTTGGTGTAAAATGTTTTGACAAATAAGAAGTGTCTGTAGACGTGAGAAGCCGATGTGTGGGAAAGACCACTAGGAAGGAGATTTCACATGTTTAGTAGAAGTGAAGGACCAAGGAGCAAAATGTTGCAACTGTAGTGGAGAGCATGAAGCACAATCCTTGGAGTGCCCAATTAGTGGAAAAGAGAATGAGGTTGCTTAAATCAGGGCAGTTGAGATATGCAGAGGCTCTCTAAAGGGTAGGAGGATCGAGTAGCTTTGAAGGTCCGGTGGTAGTGAAGACCGGTAGGCCTACAATGGAGTATCAACAGCAGGATCCAGAAATTGTTCATGTGAGGAAAATGGAACTGCACAAGTTGAAGGGAAGTCAAAAAAGATTGACATCATTGCTTCTGCAGCTGAACTCTTTCTGGGATTAAAAGGTTTGACATCTGAAGAGCTTCATGGAGTACTGTCTCGTATTTTAGTTTTTGAAGGACTGAAGGAGTGGGAATGTATATATTTCTATTCATATTTTTTTGTTGTGTATGGGGATTCATGTTAATTTTCCCTTCCTGTATGGAATGTACTTTTCTTTTGTTCATTTTTTTTATCCCGGTCCAGTTGGTGGCGACAATACACCTTTTGAGTGTAGTTCACCATAAAACCCAAAGAGGTAGAAGTCTGGGAGTGAGAGCGACAGTGAGTGAAACAGGTTGGCGATACCAAACACACATTTCGAAATGAATTGTACAACGATGACCAGACTGGCGTTTGTTCTTAACATGTTCTAGAGCATAATGTTTGATGGGACAAGCAATAGGCTATCATAGGCAGGTTTTTAAGCAATTTTTGACTGTAACAAACATTTAGTCAGAGAAATGGAGGGAAATTAAGAATTGGAGGGAGCTAGGCCTCCCTGACAGGCATTGTCAAACTCGCCACTCCAAGTTCTGTGGTTTAACTCTTAAATGTAAAGTCCCCATATTTGGGGACCCTATTAGATTTTTTTTATTCAATTCAGTCTGGTATGAAAACGGTAGCCCCTATCTGCAAAAGCAGGGTGTCTGTGGAAAGCTGAGTACCTTGGCTATTCATAGGTGCCTTCAAATCTTTGGTGTTACTTACTACCATATATGGGCTTACGAATTTATAAGGGCAGGCCGAGCCGATTAGCTCATTTCAAAATGGCTGCTACCTACATTCCAGTTAGCGTTGTGAAGCATAAACGAAGTAAACACGGAATATATTGATACACACCAAATGCCGAGATGCCACAGATCATAAGGATATCTTATTTGTCTGCCTGTGACCAACCGTTATTGATCACCAGCCCCAAGAGTCATAATGTTTATTTTACACAACGTTTTCACCAAACAGCAAACATCTTACAAGGTAAGCTTCGATTTGGTCTGTGTTTGAGCTATAGCTACATGGGTGGTATCAAATTAATCCTTATGTTGGTAGGAACAAATCTAGCCTATTGCTAATGTTATCTGATGACATATGACTTAATTGCAACATTGAATGTCAACCGAGTGACTATATCTTTGCGCATCAAAAATATGATGTTGCCTGCTTACGCACTGTACGCATCCATTACACAGGGATTGGCTAGTATGGCACCATGACAGTCTTGTAGCCAATGAGATAAACTTTCCAGGGATAAGCAGTTGACCTGGGTGGGACAAAGCAAGGCGTAGAACCTTTTAACATCCAGTGTGCAAAAACAGTGCAATTACCACATTCGGACACTTTGGAGAGGTTGAAAGGACACTTAAATGCCTCGTGAGCTTAGTTCAACTGTCATATCTCATCACAGCAAAAATATAAGCTTGTTTTACTCGTAAAAAAACACTGTATAGCCTCAAAACATGGTCAAAACTAATTTTGATATCATGGATAGTCAGTCCTTGCAATCATGACTCTGTCTAAGAATTTGAGTGGTTACATTTCTCCCAGCCAATCCTCTAGGAATGTGTGGTTAGATTTTTCCCGGCCAATCCTCTAGGAATTTGAGTGGTCACATTTCTCCCAGCCAATCCTCTAGGAATGTGTGGTTAGATTTTTCCCAGCCAATCCTCTAGGAATTTGAGTGGTTACATTTCTCCCGGCCAATCCTCTAGGAATTTGAGTGGTTACATTTCTCCCGGCCAATCCTCTAGGAATTTGAGTGGTTACATTTTTCCCGGCCAATCCTCTAGGAATTTGAGTGGTTACATTTCTCCCGGCCAATCCTCTAGGAATTTGAGTGGTTACATTTATCCCTGCCAATCCTCTAGGAATTTGAGTGGTTACATTTCTACCGGCCAATCCTCTAGGAATTTGAGTGGTTACATTTCTCCCGGCCAATCCCTCATCTTTTTACCAAAACTAATGAGGGGCTTTGTTATTGTTTCAATTAAGTATTCTAGCTTTTTCACTCCTACCTACAGTACTTCTCATTCTTGACCACGTAGCCTAGGTAACTAAATAAGTCGTGGTCAGCCCTATTTGCGCTTCACAGCCACTATCAGTTATCATGTAGTAACATATTTTGTGACCAGTTCCACATGGCTCTCTTAGTACATTGAATGTCTGTGCAAGTGATGGTGAGCAGGTTGGACCTATGTTATACTTACCCTCCTGGATAGTCAATGCGATGGGCTTGCGGGTGAAGTCAGGGTGGCTTTTTCCCTCTGGTATTTCCTCCACATACTGCGTGATCATAACTCCAGGGACTTTCGATTTCTTCTTGATCCCAACTGGTAACATGATATGATTGATTATTAGCAACTGAACCAGTAATCAATATTTATATTAATTAGTTTATTTATGCAATCTCTATTTAACCAGGTGAGTTAACTGAGAAGCAATTCTCATTTGACATGACCATTATCATCATTACAATGATATGCTCATTTCACATTAATCCCACTGCCTTTACATCTGTCATGTGGTTTTATTTATGTATTCAATCAAAACAAACATGCTTTATAAAACAATATGAACATTCTAACATATATATTAGAATATTCCACGTTATCACTAATTGAATCATGTTTCGATGATCAATGCTTACACATTGTGCAAGTGACAACAGATGTGCAATAGAACATATCCACGTATATAAAACCATACGTCGTCGAACGAAACATATGAGACCCATTACAATTTTTCCTGTTATAATGTATTGAATCATATTTACATAATTCCTTCTCCTCGAGCATCCATGCTTGTACAGACATTTGTGACAACAGATATGTGATAAAGCATATCCACGTACGTAAAACCGTACGCCATCGAACAGAACAAACCTATTGCATATTTTAGGTTCATTCTTCATGCCTCAGAAGTGACTGTGAGGGGAACAAGCCTTTAGAGTTCCCCCTTGCCTACCTCCTTCTTTTTCGAAGACGTCTGAGACAGGACCTGCTCATGTAAAGTTGGGAAAGCACATACAGGACAGGTGAGCAGGGTATCGTTAAAAATGCCGACTGGACTGAGGCTTAAGACTTGAGTTAAGAGAGACATTGATATTGTGATGTACACACACAAAAAACTAAACAGGAAATGCATAACAAACATCCAAAGTTCAGTAATCCGTTTGAGATTGAACACAGATGACTTGCAAACATACACAGATATGCTGATCATCGTGGGCATATCGTGATGTTTGTTGTGTTGATGTTGGTTTTGTCTTTTACCCGTAACTGTAACTGATTTGAAGATGTATCTCCAATGTGTATGTTCCATACACGTTTTCTACTACTGAGAATATATCATTGTCCAGGCGGTGTTATGTCCTCTATGTGAGAATATATCATTGACCAGGCGGTGTTATGTCCTCTATGTGAGAATATATCATTGACCAGGCGGTGTTATGTCCTCTATGTGAGAATATATCATTGACCAGGCGGTGTTATGTCCTCTATATTATCTCCCTTGAGTGAAGGGTTTCAAAGTCTTTCTCCATAATGTCTGTTGCGCTGTGTCAGGTAGTTGTTGTTTTTTGTTCTTGCATTGATGCATTCTGCAATGCAACTGTCATATCTGCAATCTTTCATTTAATTCTCTTTAAACCTGGCTTGTGGTTTTATTGATCTCGGTCCAAATACTCAACCACGACCATGCTTAACACAGTATGTACATTCTAACACATGAGATGTTAGAATGTTTCTTGTTAACATTTATTGAATCATATTTAACTGTTCATTTCTTCTCCTCGAGCGTCCATGCTTACACATTGTGTAATTGACAGTATAGATCAGATCAGATATGCAGTAGAACATATCCCCGTACGTAAAACTGTACGTTGTCGTACATAACAAACCCATTGCATTTTCATCCTCCATGCCTCGAAAGTGAGAGGGAACAGAAGCATTTATGACTTGGGTCATATTTCCCCCTGCCTACCTTCGTCAAACTCGTCTGAGACTGGACCTGCTATTGTGAAGCACATAGATACATAGAGCACATAGATCCAGATATCAGTAGAGTGTTGTTAAAATAGCAAATTGGACTGGACTAACGCTCCGTATTAGTAAATTAAGACAATCAAACTGCATTGTATCTTTGCAATACACACTACAACAAAAAAACAGGACATTCAACCCAAAAAAGACTGCATCAAACTGGAATACAGTCAATGACAATGAACAATAGATTATACTTCATGAAGGCCCATCAAAGAGCACGTTAACATAGTCTACATAATAAATTCACGTTCTAGGCATTGGATGCCATCTTTCTTGCTTGATATTGATTTGTGCCCATCACTGTAATTCATTTGGAGGTTTCTCTCTACAGTTCGGGCCCCATTCCATACATTCAGGGCTAGATTATGTCTTCTCTGATGTCACATTTGACTGAAGGGTTTCTCGGTTTCAGAAAGGGCTTCTGCTCCATATTTCCGGTGTCAGATAATCGTGTTGTTCCCTTGCATTGATGTGTTCCCTTGTTTATTTCATCCCACAATTGACAAACAATTTCAGTCAGTCTTGTACTATAACATGCTTCACTGTTGTCGCTGAGAGGCTTAATGGCCGACAGGAGCTACGTGATGTGATTTATGCTTTTTGGTCTGATGTTTTTCTTCAATGGATGAAAGTTACTGTGCTGCATTGTGCAGTGATCCGTGTTTGGTAGTCTTGTTGTCATTTCATTATCTTTGACCTTCAATCTTCCTTTGAGGCTGTCATTCTGTTGTGGGTAGTCTACTTCATTCCTTCTTGGGAATCAGATTAACTTTCTACTGCAGACAGAGAACTGAAGTAATTGACTGGTATACAAATGTAGTAAGATGATGAGGATGATGGTGGGTATATGATGATGTTATTATGAAAGCTAATGTCTACAAGTAAAGCAACAGACACTATATGCTCTTGATCGAAGATGTTGGTTGATGGTGTTTTCAGCGTCCATTATTCTGGTATTCTTGGCCTTCACCTGCAGAGGAAGTGGGGGGGATAACATTATCTACATACCTTGGCCAGTGGCTGTCTGGTCCGTGACCTTTGATTTATTTTTCCACATCTTGGAAGTTTTGGTTGCTGGGTAGACTCAGCAGAATGTCTTCAGCTTTAATAGATAGAGAAACAGGTTATCCTATTTTTGGATTGAGCATTGAAAGCAATATGGTATCACAAGACCTAAGGGAGTTAATGAGTACAGTACATAGGATCCTTCTCTCTTGGTTTCTATGTTATTTCTGTCCCATGATCCCGTGGTAGACCATTAAGAATGGTATTTTGTTTTATTCTCTCTACATGTTCTATTTTATTTTGCTTCATCAGAACGAGCATTGGTTTACAGGTCATGACTTGCCATTGACATTGATTTAACATCTAAGGTTTTTTAAGTTGCATGTGTGGTGAGGACATGAAACATGACCATCTGGGACTGTTTGTCAGGCTGCGGTAAATCTTTGCTGCTTGCTAAAAGTCTTCCTTTTTTTGCCGATCAACCAAGGCACTGCTTCCCAACCCTGGTCCTCCAGTACCCCCAACCGTACACATTTTCATTGTAGCCCTGGACAAACACACCTCATTCAACTCATTGAGGGCTTGATGATTAGTTGACAAGTTGAATCAGGTGTGCTTGTCCAGGGTTACAATAAAAACGTGTACTGTTGGGTGTACTCGAGGACCAGGGTTGGGAAACACTGAACCAAGGTATTAATTGAGTGTGGTGACTCAATTGAAGGGTAATGTATAATGCTTGTGTACCCAGTGCAGGATATTTAAAGACAAACTGTAGGAGAACCATAGAGTATGCATTGTGCGAATAGTTTTCCAAATGGACCATCTACAATGTGTAATGCTTGTGTACACAGTTCAGGACTTGTAAAGATATAATGTACTGTTACAGTATAGGATTGTCCATTTTAGAAATGGTCTGATTTCCTCATATTGAGAGTTATTTTCCTACAGTGAGAATATAAAAATGTCATTGGTTATATGTGCAGTAGATGTCACTAAGAGCACCCTCCAGGACACTTTTATTACCCAGATGGTTTGCTACTCTAAGACAGCTGAATGTGTTGCTATACCAAAATAGATAGACTGCAGGCTGCATATAATGGCCCTGATGTCTAATGGATATAAAGGCGTTCTCAAAAAGTGGTTGTGCAGTAAAACCTAAATTATTAGCCCTGCTGTTTATTTGCTTCAATCGCTGAACACAACCAGCGCTTATTAGAAACAGGCTTCTATTTGAGCCAGGCCTCTAATTCCTTGATGCACACAGCTTTTGCACAATAAAATGTTGAAAAGACTACCACACTGTTTATTGTGACCAATATTAACAGTATAAAATGTATAATAAAAAATCTATCACAGATCAGACTTGCAAAGGCTGCCTATCATACACCACCGATTTCACACTTCAGCACCATGGAGAGCGTGTGCCGATAAACAATTCATTTAGACCCAGTGTTTATTTGAAACAGGCGTTTACTTGCTGAAATGTGTGTCAATCCCCAGCTATTAAACGGGACAGGCGGCTATTTGAGGCTGTGTTTAATATCAAGCTGGTGTTGTTATTGGCCATGCACTCATATACAGTGGGGAAAAAAAGTATTTAGTCAGCCACCAATTGTGCAAGTTCTCCCACTTAAAAAGATGAGAGAGGCCTGTAATTTTCATCATAGGTACACGTCAACTATGACAGACAAAATGAGAAGAAAAAAAATCCAGAAAATCACATTGTAGGATTTTTAATGAATTTATTTGCAAATTATGGTGGAAAATAAGTATTTGGTCAATAACAAAAGTTTCTCAATACTTTGTTATATACCCTTTGTTGGCAATGACACAGGTCAAACGTTTTCTGTAAGTCTTCACAAGGTTTTCACACACTGTTGCTGGTATTTTGGCCCATTCCTCCATGCAGATCTCTTCTAGAGCAGTGATGTTTTGGGGCTGTCGCTGGGCAACACGGACTTTCAACTCCCTCCAAAGATTTTCTATGGGGTTGAGATCTGGAGACTGGCTAGGCCACTCCAGGACCTTGAAATGCTTCTTACGAAGTCACTCCTTCGTTGCCCGGGCGGGGTGTTTGGGATAATTGTCATGCTGAAAGACCCAGCCACGTTTCATCTTCAATGCCCTTGCTGATGGAAGGAGGTTTTCACTCAAAATCTCACGATACATGGCCCCATTCATTCTTTCCTTTACACGGATGAGTCGTCCTGGTCCCTTTGCAGAAAAACAGCCCCAAAGCATGATGTTTCCACCCCCATGCTTCACAGTAGGTATGGTGTTCTTTGGATGCAA